CCACCTCGCAGCACAACTGCAGCGCCACCGTGTGGCCACCACTTGATACAACTGCAGTGCCACCACACGGAGGCAGTGCCACCGCGCGTGGTGGCCACCATGCGTGTGGGTGTTTGGAGAGTACCACAACATTGACAGCAACACACCGTGTGTGTACTCGTAACAAATTGCCATGTTTTGTTTAATTGAGAAACCTTTATAATTGGCTGTGTCAGGTGGTGGTGGGTTTAAAATTTATATTTACGAGATATAACCCAAACATTGATCTATTTACTGTAGTTGTGCATTTGTCCACAAGAGGGCAACACGTGACTTGTATAGCCCTGACCCTAATCTGTAATGCACATATAACCACCTCAACCCATAGCCTTGATTTAATTGAATGTTTGGCTTGCATGCCACAATGATTGTTATCATTTCAGTTGCTCTACTTTATTTATTTGAGTAAAGGGATTTTAGAAAGTAAATAAATCCCCCCAATGCTATACTATGTTTGCCTATGTTTTAGTACAATATTGGATGTAGAAATTGCAAATGCTTTTGGGGGGCTCATTTCACGGTGGAAATATTTTTATTCAATTTGTAGCCTACAAATAATGCAGTCAGGAAATGTAAAAACTGACGCAATGTCTTTTGGTTGCAGTGTTATTGACAAGCAAAATAAAGGCTTTTTAGTCATGTTTTCCTTCAGGTGTGACTTTTCCTATGGGAAAATGTATTGACAAATTGTCAACTTTGCACCTCATAACCTCGCAAAAAATCTATATTGAACGAGCATGGACTCGCCTAAATTACATGCAGGCTGCCAATAATCAACACATAGGCCGCAATCTAAACACGTGTTGACGCGCGATTTTAAACTTCATCTCTCTTGGGGATGTGTTACAGCCTCCTCCTCGCCTCATTACAATGAAAACAATCTGAGGATTTTGCGCTTAAAATTGCTTAAATGTTTTGCTTACAAAAGCAAAGTTCTACGAGTCTAGCTATTACACTAACTCTAAACACAAGATAGGCCTCGTAACTTTGTGTTTGCAAAAACATTTCTACCGAATGAGCTGGTAGCTCACCTTGAGGGGCTGGGAATCCACCTTGACGAGCTGGTAATCCATATGAACGAGCTGGTAATCCACAACACGAGCTGGTAATCCACATGAACGAGCTGGTAATGCACATGCACGAGCTGGTAATGCACATGAACGAGCTGGTAATCCACATGAACGAGCTGGTAATCCACATGGTCGAGCTGGTAATGCACATGAACGAGCTGGTAATCCACATGAACGAGCTGGTAATCCACATGAACGAGCTGGTAATCCACATGAACGAGCTGGTAATCCACATGAACGAGCTGGTAATCCACATTGTCGAGCTGGTAATCCACATGAACGAGCTGGTAATGCACATGAACGAGCTGGTAATCCACATGGTCGAGCTGGTAATCCAATGAACGAGCTGGTAATCCACATGGTCGAGCTGGTAATGCACATGAACGAGCTGGTAATGCACATGAACGAGCTGGTAATGCACATGAACGAGCTGGTAATGCACATGAACGAGCTGGTAATCCACATGAACGTAGCTGGTAATCCACATGTCGAGCTGGTAATCCACATGAACGAGCTGGTAATGCACATGAACGAGCTGCTAATCCACATGGTCGAGCTGGTAATCCATATGAACGAGCTGGTAATCCACATGAATGAGCTGGTAAAACACATGAACGAGCTGGTAATCCACAACACGAGCTGGTAATTCACATGAACGAGCTGGTAATCCACATGAACGAGCTGGTAATCCACATGGTCGAGGGCACGTGACCTGAAGCGGAGGTGCCGTCCTTGATACAGCAAGGGGCGTGGCCGGGGCAAAGGGATGAAGGGGGGAGCGCGAGGGGGATTCGGGGCTCGTTCGGGGATCAAGAGAGGGAACAGACACGCACATAGTGAGCAACCTAGAACAATTTTTTCGATTTAAAGCTTCGTGACTGCAGGGATTCATCTTCTTGGTTCTTCCGGTAAAGTCACGTAGAAGGGAAGTAATAAAATAATAAAAATAAAACATAATAAAATAAATTTCGATTTAAGCTTTCGTGACTGCAGGGATTCATCTTCTTGGTTCTTTCGGTAAAGTCACGTAGAAGGGAAGTAATAAAATAATAAAAATAAAACATAATAAAACAATTCTCACGACGTTTCGGCCACAACGCAAGCAGCCGTCCTCAGGTGAAAACCAGGTCCGTCGAGGCGACAGAGTCTGAATGAAACAGCACACGAGCTTGGAGCATATATATAAGCTGGGCGCATTGACAAAGCAATTTGCATATCAAAAGGAATTTAGCATATTTATGGGAAATGCAGGAATGTGATTAGTACTGCATATGCATGTGCATTATGCAGGATTAACAGCATCAAAGGGAGCTGCAGTTACTGCTGCTGCTGCTGCAGTTTCTGCTGCTGCAGTTGCTGCTGCTGCAGTTGCTGCTGCTGCTGTTACTGCTGCTGCTGCACTTGCTGCTGCTGCTGCAGTTGCTGCCTTATCCATTTTAATATAACACTATGTATTATTCTACCCACCCTAATGTGTATCACACTGCTATATCTATATATATAAAATCGTTCATGTCTGTCTGTCTGTGTGTGTGTGTGGACTTTGGCCCATACGCACTTTCATTGGACGGCGGTTGCCCCTGGCAACGGCTAGCCACGCCTTCGCCGCTTTCATTGGACCTGGCAACGGCTAGCCACGCCTTCGCCAAGGGCTGCAGTTTCATTGGACGGCGGTTGCCCCTGCCAACGGCTAGCCACGCCTTCGCCACTTCATAAGCTCCGTATTTAATTAAATAATAGCCATTACACAGTATTGTTGGAGCGCTAGGGGGGGGGGAAGGAACGCCACCCGTACCCTGCCTCTTCCAAGCCGACAATTTTAGGCGAGGCCGCAGGCTTTGCACGCTACTAGGCCTCGACACCCACCACGCCACTCTGAGGTAAATTCATCAAAGTTTTTCCTACTCTTCACTACACCCCCACCACAATGTGTGCTATTAATATTACTTTTAAACCCAACGCGCCAACAATCGATTACTTTAATGTTCACTGTACAAATACTCATTAAGCTGGGTGAGCGTACTGCCAGTCTATCATGTACACTGTAGCCTGCTTATTAAGCTCGGTGAGCGTACTGCCACTCTATCATGTACACTCTAGCCTGCTTATGAAGCTGAGTGCGTGTACTGGCAGTCTATAATGTGGACTCTTGCCTGGTTATTATAATCGATTCTTTATATGTTCTTTGTACAAACAGTCATTAAGCTGCTTGAGCGACCCCAGTTCGATTCCAACTCACGCCCACCACCGCTGACGATTATTTGAAACGGACCTGGCCCTCCCCTAGGTCCACTCAGCCTCAAAAGCGTAACTGCTGTCGTGTGTGAACATCGTCACTGGGGAGACAAAGGCGGCGGGGCATCGTGGATCCAAGTCCCAGGCGAAGCCGGGTCATGTGTATGTGTGTTTGTGTTTATGTGTATGTCTGTGTGTCTCTATGTATGTGTGTATGTATGTGTATGTATGTGTTTGTGTGTATGTGTGTGTGTATGTATGTGGGTTTTTTTGTATGTCTTTATGTGTATGTCTGCGTGTCTCTATGTATGTGTGTATGTACGTGTGTGCATGTGTTTGTGTGTATGTATGTGTGTGTCTATGTATGTGTGTGTATGTGTTTCTGTGTATGTATGTGTGTGTATGTATGTGTGTTATGTGTCTGTGTGTCTGCATGTATGTGTGTGTGTATTGTGTATGTGTTTGTGTGCATGTATGTGTGTGTTTGTGTGTATGTGTATGTCTGTGTGTATGTATGTGTGTGTATGTGTGTGTATGTGTTTGTGTGTATGTGTGTGTATGTATGTGTGTGTATGTGTTTGTATGTGTTTGTGTGTTTACGCTCGCATTACACAAATGTGTTGCTGGCCTAAGGCGTTCCTCGCACAGCATTGCCGCTTTATTATTTCAGTCGTTTACTGCCTTACGCACCCTGAACGTCGTGTGTGTTTGCAGCAAGCGCGTGTATGTGTACCAATGGACGC